GGCCGCTCGCCTTCGCCGCTGGAGAGGAGGGGCCCCGCGCCGCCCGCGCCCCGCCTGAGCCGGTGCCTCCGGGGCAGCAATGGCCGCCTGCGGCTGGAACGCGCTCCTGGCCGCAGCCAGGGCCAGGTAAGGCGGGGATGGATCTTCCCGGGCGCTCCGTGCCGCAGCGTTCCCGTGCCCTGAGCTCGACCGGAGGTGGAACGGGCTGAGGGTAACCGCAGTGAGGGGGACAGGGAGCTCCCGGCGCGGGAACGCCTTGCTTCAGCGATTTCCTTACAGTGCCGGGTGCTGTTGGGATGTTTCTGGCACAGACAGACGTTGCTGTAATACCAACGCTTTAAACTAGAGTGCTGCAAACTGCTGCACAAAATTAGCTGAGCGCGGGAAGGACAAAGTTTGATTTGTCTAAAACTGAAGGATTTTGGCAGTTGTTTTCACGCACAGCAGCCTGCAAAGTCATATAGAAAGGGAGCAGACTGTCAGCGCTGGCCACTCCAGCCCATCTTTTCCAGCTGAGGCTGCCAGGGGAGGGAGGGGGTGAGAAATACAGCGAACCCTGTCCTGAGAGCTTGGTGAGAGGAGACAGAAATTTGGGTTTTCTTTGTCTGCAACTGGCAAATTTTAGCCAATATGATTGGTAGAAGGGCTTCCCAGAGGCACTCTGGAGTCTTGGGTTACTGTCCCCCAAGAGGAAAGTTGTTAGCATGGGACAGATTCTCAATATTTTATCCGTTGCTGGAGGATCAGTCTCAGATACTGAAGCAGCCACAAAATCAGGTTGGCACGAAGAGCATTGGTTTGTGTGTCATGCCCGGGTACCTTGGCCACAATGCACTATCACTTCCTTAAATCCCTCTGCAGTTTCAGAGGCTCCCATCTCCTCGTGCACTCCAGTTCTCCATACACTCCAGCAGTTGCTTTTGTCCAACTAGTGGATTCTCATTTGAACTGGACTCATGTAAGAAACTCTGAGAACCGACCTCACTCCCCGGCTGAAGTTGTGCGAAGGTTTCACACGGCCGCCTGCCCGCGCCAGGAGCTGCGGGATGAACTCCCCCCACCCCAGAGTGCTGCAAACCAGGGCACCAAGCCTGCGAAAACGCCGACAGAACAAGTCGTGGTGACTCCCGTGGGAAAAAAGTCTTTACGCCAAAAAGTCGTGGATGAACTGAAACATTATTACAACGGATTCCACTTGCTCTGGATCGACACTAAGGTGGCTGCCAGGATGGTGTGGAGGCTCTTACATGGTCAGGTCCTCACTAGGAGGGAGAGGCGAAGGGTAAGTGCCAGACACTCAAATGCTTTGCTAAGATGATGTATTAAGAGGCTTATTATAATGAAGGAAGTTTAGCTGCTTGGTTTCCACACTTCCTTGGAATACCCTTTTTTCGTGTCAGGTTGACCAATAATTTCCGCTGTGCTCTTCTCTGTACAGTTGCTGAGAACGTGTGCAGATCTCTTCCGGCTGGTTCCCTTCCTGGTGTTTGTCATCGTCCCCTTCATGGAATTCCTGTTACCTGTATTCTTGAAACTCTTCCCTGAAATGCTGCCCTCGACCTTTGAGACGGAGTCAAAAAAGGTTTGTGTCCTTTCTGAAGATGCAGACTACTCCAGCTCGTTCGAACGTCTGTACAGCTGCAATAAAGAGCTTCCTTCCTGCTGCTGGAAATGAGTGTCAGCCTCACACACACGTCTAGGCCAGACGTTCCCAGTTCACCCCTGTACAGGACAGCAGAATTTGGAGATTGTAGTGTAAACAGTGATCAGTAGGAAAGGGCACAGCAATTTCATTTTCTATGGTAACCAAAGCCTATTTGCTTTCAGTACTGAAGACTTATTTTTTTCCCAGAATCCCCTCCCTTCTGATTTTCACGTGCAATTTCTAATTATGTTTTATTTCCTGAATGAAGGAAGAAAAGCAGAAAAAGAAATTAAACGCAAAGCTGGAGTTAGCAAAGTTCCTGCGGGAGACCATTGCAGAGATGGCCAAAAGGAACAAAGCAGATACAGGCCAAGGAAAACAATTCTCCTCGTATGTGCACCAGGTAGGATGGCTGTGCTGGGGATGGCAGCAGCAGTGCTCACACCGGCTTTGGTGCTGCTGGTTTGGGCAGAGAGCGTGGGATCTGGGGATTTGGGCAGAGGCTGCAGAGAGGTGTGAGGGTGCAGAGCCATCCCGCCGGGGGGGGGAGCGGAACGCCCTCCTGGCACTGCCTCTGTTACAGCTCTCACTGCAGACTGGAACAACACTGAAAGTTTCACCCTGTGAAATCCTTTCAGTGGCCGCTCAGAACCACTGGTTCACTTTGGCCTTTTAGCTGTGTCGTTGTTTCCATTGAGAGACGGGAGCACCGGTGTGAGGGCGGGAAGGGCTTATCCTTAGAGGGGGAAGAGGATTCACGGGCTGGGATTCTGCCTGGTATGGCTTTTGGCCCTGATGCCTCTGCTCTCTCTAGATCCGTCACAGCGGCCTCCAGCCCAGTACCCAGGAGATCATACGCTTCTCCAAGCTCTTTGAGGATGAGCTGACCCTGGAGCACTTGGAACGGCCGCAGTTGGTGGCTCTCTGCAAATTGCTAGAGCTACAGCCCATTGGCACCAACAACCTGCTCCGCTTTCAGCTTCTGCTGAGACTCAGAACTATCAAGGCAGACGATGAAGTAAGTTTACAACAGTGCAGGTGTAGCTGCTTTGGAGGCAGGGAGGCTTTTCGCAATCACAGGCTCTGCCCTCTGAATCACTGCCTGCTTTACATAAGGCCTGTGTCACTGACCACGCTCCATCCCCAGATGGGAAGTTTAATATTGGTGGGGGTCGGCTTCTCCCTGCGAGAGGTTCCATGAGAAAACAGAATTAGAGTTCATCTTCCTGCACCCTTGCTGCCTTTGGTGACCCCTAAGGAGCGTGGTGCTGCAGATACTGTCACTGTTTAGAACACCCTTATATTTTTATTCTGGAGTCATACTAACTTGTAAAAAAGAGAGGTTCCAATTCTGGAATAAATGCATGGAAACACCAGATTTTAACTATACTGAATCATGAGTTTATATTAGTTTATAAAGTGGCTGGGTTTATTTAGCCTGGAGAAGGGCGAAGGAGAATCTGTTCACTGTTCTCAACTGCCTAATGGGGTTATTTAGAAAATGGAATCAGACTTACAGGTGCACAGCAAAAGGACAACTAATGGTCATAAGGTCAAGGGAAATTCCAACTCAATCAGAAAAAAATTAAAATTAGTGAGTGGGTAAAGGGTGGAACAGGTTGACTAGAGGTTGTGAAATCCACATCCCTAGAGAGTCTCAGTGCATAAATGGAAGAGGCTGAGCAGCGTAAAGGAATGTTGAAGTTAACCCTCTTCTGTAGAGGAGGTAGGACTGGGGACCTCCAGAAGTCCCTTCCAGCTGACATTTTATGCTGGTGGAGGAACTGTAATTTGAAATGGCGTTAAGAATCCTGTTACGACATGGAGGAAGGACCAGAAAGCTTCTTGCTTGCAGGAGGTGGCCAGTTCTGCAAGGCGTGTGCAGCTAAGCACAGGTTCTGCTTTAGAGCCTGCAGTCCGGGCAGTTCTTGGGGTCACCGGCCTTTGGGGGTAGGATCTCATGGAAAAGTGTGGGATTCATTCAAACCTGCAGGTGAAAGTCTCACGACTTAGGGGGAAAACCAAAATGATCAGGATCAAAGGTTGTTCATCCTCTGTAGCTGAAGACTCCCAGCTCTCAAGGACAGAATGAGTTATCACCAGTCAGTTCTGTCTCAGCTTTGTGCTGGTCAGACTTTATGCACATTTCAGACATTTCTTTGGGCTCAAGCTCATCGGGTACCTCAGGGTTTCGGCTTAATCTAGGCCCAGATAGGAACATTCCTTTTAATTTCAGATGATTGCCAAGGAAGGAGTCAACGGTCTAAGTGTGTCTGAACTACAGAGTGCCTGCAGAGCCCGAGGAATGCGGTCGCTGGGTCTCTCGGAGGAGCAGCTGAAAGAGCAGCTCGGGCAGGCAAGTGCACTCTGGTCTGGTCTGTTGGAGAAGGTTCCCTGGGACAGAGGGGGCTGCGGTGCAGACCCCGCAGGTGTGGGGTCACCAGGAACACACACACGTGTTTCTGGATGGGTCCTCACCTGCACAGCCGAGCTGTGAGGCATGAAGTACCCAGATTATGTCTTGGGCTAAAGAAAAAACCAAGTAGCATCAGGGCCTGCTGGAAGCAAGATGAAGTGTGAGGGGTGAAATACGTTTTAACCTTCTGAAGCAGCCAAGACCTGTGGCAGACCCAACACTGCTCCTTTATAAGCACTCAAAGGAGCTGGTACGGCTGCAGGTGCTGTGTTTGAGAGAAGCTGTAGGTAACTCAGAGTACTTGGCCGTCACTGTTGGCTCTCAGTGGTGACACTGGTGCCTCACTAGTAGCTGGAAGCTTCCTCTCTGGGGTGTGTCCCATGCGGTGTGCTTAACTCTTCAAAACCATTTCTTCTCATTGTGGTAACTTAAAACGATTAGCCAAATTCAAGATAGCTTTGAGATCTGCAAGGACAAGGAGTACTATACAAATAAGTACTGACGCAGAGCCAACGTGAAATTACTTCCCCTCCTGGCTTCTTCCAACAGTGGCTGGATCTGCATTTAAAAGAGAACGTTCCACCTTCTCTGCTCCTGCTTTCCCGTGCCTTGTACTTGATAGATATAAAGCCACAATCTGTTCCAGTTCCACAGAATAAGGTGAGTTGTTTGAATAAAACTTTCAGGTTAATAGTTTAACCATTATGCATTATAGAAAACGAATCACCGTGACATGAATCTTGTTCTTTGATCCTCCCAGTGGAGTGAGGTTTTAGCTGTGCTGAACTGTGTGTTCCCCCATAGGCAGGTGAAACTGCTGAAGTGGTGACATCTGTTCTTGAAGGTCAAGAGACCCTGGTGGATCCTGCGCCCGTCATACAGGGAAGAAAGGTCAGAAAATCAGAGTCTGCAAGTCGGGAAATGAGTGTGTAGTGCTGTAATCCCTGGGAGATGTTAACAAACCTCCCAGAGCTCAACGAAAGCCGATGTTTGCCACGTGGTGCAGAGCACAGCGCGGTGTCTGTCCCCGCGCTCTGTACGTGGTTTTGCCCCAGAGCCTCCCAGCTGGTGTAAGAGACAGTGAGAGGGTTCAGAGATCTGCTGAGGCACTTCGTGTTGCTGGAAACAGGGGGTTGTTCAGTACCATGTTCCTGGCTCCCAGCAGAGGAGCACCCCTGAGCTCCCAAGCTGCTTTATTCACATAAATACAGAGACTTCAGTCTGGGTACGTTTCGCTCAGAGAAGCCAGTTTCAGGTGACAGTTTTCAGCTCTCTAGTGAGCTCCAGGACAAAAAGTATCTCGAGTAAGAAAGCCAGAGAATATGGTTCTCAGCATAAGGCTGAAGCAAATTCCTTAGATTAGTCCTAGCTGGTGAAAGCAGCAACAGAAATTAAAGGAGAATATTGTGTCAACTGCTAGAAATATTTCCAAATAGCCGAATTAAATTACAGAGGGGAAATGGTGGAAACGCCGACGTGCAGCTTTCACAAAGGTGCGTTGCAGGGAGCCGCCTCGCTAAGAGGGTTCTGCCACTTAAAGCTGCTTTTTCCTTAAAGAATGAAGAATTTCTGTCTCAACCAAGAGAGGAATTGCCAGTCTCAGAAGTGTCAGTTAAGCCTCCCCCACGAGAGGTAAGCTTTTCAAAATCCTTACACGTTCCAAAGGAGATTGTTCTTCGGACAATTTACAAACTGTGGAGATTTGTGTTGCAGGGTGTTGTGAATGCGAAGTTCAAGGAGTGACTGGAAGAATTGTGGACGAGAACTGCACTGAGGGCTGTTAGAAAATAGCACATGTGACAGAGGCTGCAGCCCAGCTGGGGAGGGTAGTGAGCTCAGGGGAGGTACCAGTACATCCTTCCGTGCACTCCAGCAACCTGCTGTGGACCCAGAGGACAGAGCAGCTCCCGTCAGGGAGTGTTGAGAGCCGTTTTGTATCTGTAAAAATATTTCTACAGTGACTTGGCTTTTTTTTTCCCATTTCCATTCTGTGAATATTTGATTTTGATTTAGCTGCTTATGCATCTGGGATGCCCACTGAGGGCAAGTTTGGGAGTCCAGATTTTATCGACAGGAGCATGCTCCTTAACCTGGAGAACTTTGTTCTTAGCTGTTGCTCTGCAGAGTAAATGGGAAGGATCCCTTCTTCAAAAAAGGTTTTGAATTTCAAGCAGCATTTGTGTTGGTACGGCCTAAAGTCTGTAACTTTCTTTCACACCCAGGCTGCGATGGAAGCCTCTCCGGGCAGCAAGGCGGGTGCTAACGGAGTCTAGCCTGAGGCTGGGCAGGCCCTGACCTGGGAGAGAAGAGCTGTTGTCCCCATGATGGAGGAGGGTTCTCCAGGGGCTGTGTGACACAGGAGGGGCTCAGTCCCTCTCCTCACCCAGGCTAAGGCTGGCAGGGCCGCACTGCTCCCCTCTTGTACCGCATCCCCTGCCCCCAGCTTAACTTCTGCTGTAAATATGTTAATAACGGTGCTGCTGTCTGTGCTGTTGCTGAACTGCTGGCTGTGCTCTCCAGCAGAGGAGAGGCAGCTCTTCACTGCCGTGTGGGCCTGGGCACGGAGAGAGCTAGGCCGGGAGTCCAGTAAAGCCTCTTCTGCCGTTTGAAATCCTCTGCAGGAACATACACGGGGCTCACAGCTTGTCCTGCTGCCGCTGCTTTACGAGCTTGAGCTCTTGACCCTAGTTAGCACGGTTTAACCAGTAACTAGTGCACAGAATGACCTGTGTAGCCCTTGTGTTTCGCCGTCACGTTTGCACCGAGGAGAACAGCGGCAGAGAAGGGGGACCAGCACTCCTTGGTGCCGTGGGTGAACTTGACTGTTCAGAAAGACTTTGGAACTCGCTGGGCGAGAGCCGAGCAGGGGAGAGGAGAGCTCCCCCCCCAAAAAACCCTCACACTCCTTGGAAGGAGCTGCAGCAGGTGCCAGGCACCGAAGGCAGAGACTTGTGGTTTTGAGGTCCCGCTGGATGATGTGAGGCAGCAACCCGGGGATCCCCACACATTTCCCAAGTGGTTAAACCTGACTGGGCTGGGCGCGCGCTCTCGGACCTGCTGTGCTTTACACAAGGATGCTTCACACACTCCAGTGTTGGCTGGTGTTTTGGTAGACTCCATGGGAGGATGCTGGAAAGCTGTTTTTAGCATTTGTTAATTTTTTAACTTTGTCCTATGTAAATATGCGGAAATTACATTACGGATTTTAAATATGTATTTATACTTACTGTAAAATTAAAGTTAGACTTGGTGCTAAGTAGAAGACGCTGTCTTTCCCAGAGGTCAGAGAGCCTTTAGCACACCCCTCCCAAGGTCAGGTGTTATCAGCGTTTCAGCATGTGACTCCAGGCCCTTACTGACAAGGCAGGAGCAGCCGGGGAGGCGGCTGCCGTGGCCACGTCCTGGTCTGTGCCCCTGCCTGGCTCCCGCAGCCCCTCTGTTGAACTGATGATTAGTAAATGAGAACAGATATTGCAATAAACTAATCCCCCTTGTTCAGGTGTCGCTCCTGCCTCTGTGTGGCACGGGGGGGGTGTTGCTGGTGGCCAGTACTTGGCTGAGACAGTAGCCTGTGGCTACTTGGCCCTTTGACAGAAACCTGGACTCCTGGAGGGCCCTGACAGTCTCTGTAGTTGGACCAGGACTGACCGAACTCCTGCAGAGCCCTCGTCTAGAGAAGTGTTCCAGCCCCTAACGACCCGAGCACGAGTTGCTCTGTGCGAGGTTTCGCTGGTGCTGAGCTCCGGGGTTCTGTGCGGAACACGAGTAATTCCCGTCGGGTGGCTGGGGCGTGGAAATGGATGGGATTCCTGAATCCAAGGTAAGCGGGAAGGGCTGTGCAAGGGGAAATACCCTGTTTTAAAGCACAAACCGGGTTTAGCAGAGCCAGCCTTGTTCGCTAAACCCTGTCAAAGCAAGAACGTCGCAGATGGGAGGAAGGTTTTTGTCTAACTGGGGGGATTTTCTGCAAAAGAAACGCAGCAGTGAACATCCAGCGGGTTGTCACTGGGGGGTTGGGGCCAGCTCCGGCCAAACCCTGAACTCGGGAGGTTCCTGATCTTCCACCACTCGCTGCGGGAGCCGGAGCCGCGTGTCCTGGCCCCGAGGAGCCGTTAACCGAAGGGGCCACCCCCGGGGCGCGGGGCTGCAGCTGCAGGGTCAGGGACCGGCCCCAGCCCCACGCCGCAGATGCCCCCAACAGCCCCATCGCTGTCCACGGGGTTTATGTTGCCGAGGCCGGGGGAGGTTGGTTTTTAGTACGACGGGATTAGTCGACGCGCGAGCGGCACCACCAGCCCCCGCCGGTGCTCGCCCCGTG